AAAAAAAAAAAAAAAAAAAGCAAATTAATTGTAGCACCATGACTTGTTTTTTATAGTCAGCATTATCGTAAAGATTTTGCCCAGTCAGAATAAAGGCCAACACATTTTAATAAGTCTGTTAATAGCTTACCTTACTTGACTTGCATTCATTGTAAATATCCCATAGAAAAAAACACACAAGCCAACAAGTGCTGCAGGAATCAGCATTCCAGTATACCATCCCAGCCAAGCAAAGTACAGCCCAATCTTCTCACCAAAGTATAGCCTGCACAAGAAAGCCAACTCTTAGCTTAAGGTAACGTAAGCAACACTACAAATGTTGCTGTCACACCTGGTCAGAATTTGGTGGATATAACAGCTCAGTTCCATGTAGCGTATCTTAATATTCCCACTTGCTAATGAATCCAATGATGGTGATGCTGTTTATCTTCAAACATTAGAAGGGGCAGTTTTATAAAATGTATTCTTTCTGTGTCGAATTTCTTAATATGGCCCAACTCTTGCCTTTCTCCATTCTCCTAGTAGAATCTCTTTGTTTTCCATGCACAGAACTGTACTAAACCAAACTACTTTTGTGTGAATTAGGGAAAGAAGTCTCCCCTATAGGTAGATGCTGAGAGTAGATTCCAGTTCAGTCTCCATCTGCACCCTTGGCCAGACTCCCTTCTGCTAGACACAATCTGCACAATTATGTTACACTTTCCACAACAAAGTTAACTTTGTGGTTCCTGGGGCACATGATTCTTTCCTTGGTTAATTCTGTTCCCTGACTTTGGAATATTACATTTGACTCTCTTACCTTGTCTGGCCTGTATGCATCCTTCAGTTTGTATCACTTCTAACAAGAAGCTTTTCCTGACTTACACTACAACCCTGGGTAAGATAGCCCTGATTTTGCTCCTATACTGCCCTTACTGACATTCCAGTGTCCTAAATTTACAACACTTTAAGACAATTAATTATCTGTCACTCTTCTCTTCCTCTCCCTCCCCATAAGACTGCAAGTGCCTAGAAGTGGACCTGTGTCTTGTTTCACTAACTCCCACCACAGGGAGTATTGAATGAAGCTAAGGAAATGAATGTGTTTTATTTTCCTTGAGCTGACGAGCATAGTTTATATGGAAATGGCAGATGGATAGGACAATTCTAATGACTACCCAATTCTCTCTTTTCACAAAGTCTTCTGACAATACCAACTGCTACACAGTTTCTAAAGCTCTGATAAGAAATAATAGTTTCCTGCATTCTCTACTACTACTTGGTCTCTATCTTCTAAAAATGGCTACGTAACACAATTTTGTCCCAGCAATAGTTTTAACAATTGGTGTTTTACTATTCATTTAGGAATACTGCAATTGGGCACAGATTCTTGTTGGGAAGAAATTTTTCTTGTTATTTTTTCCCTTCACAAGGCTTCTCTTTCTGAAAATTATTATTTTTTCTCTGTATTATGTCAATTAAAATTTTGTATATTCTACCAGGTGTAGAAATGGAGTCATCTTCCATGAAGGATCATTTATCTAAGTTTTTGTTTTTACATTGATTTCTCCTGGGAGACATAGATCAGTGGTCCATTCACTTCTCATACAACGATAATGTTCTACTTCAGAGGAAAGCTTATATTAACAGGTATTTCAAACAAGCCATTTATTCCTTTTAACAAGGGTTCCTCTGTGAGGGGAGTAGGTTTTTAGCACATATTACTAACATAATGGAATGCCTTTACAATAACAACCATAGAGCATTGCACAGACAACCCTCCCTTATACAGACAGAATTCTGCTGAGATTTTCTTTTTTTTTTTTTTTTTTTTTTTTTTTTTTTTTTTTTTTTTTTTTTTTTTTTTTTTTTTTTTTTTTAAATTTTTTTTTTCAACGTTTATTTATTTTTGGGACAGGGAGAGACAGAGCATGAACGGGGGAGGGGCAGAGAGAGAGGGAGACACAGAATTGGAAACAGGCTCCAGGCTCTGAGCCATCAGCCCAGAGCCCGACGCGGGGCTCGAACTCACAGACCGCGAGATCGTGACCTGGCTGAAGTCGGACGCTTAACCGACTGCGCCACCCAGGCGCCCCTGCTGAGATTTTCGATTACACATTGTTGAAGTCCAGAGGGGCAACAATATTATTTGACAGTAGTTTAATCACATAGGTTACAGCAGATTTTAGATCTGGTTCAGGAGAGGGAGAAGCTATTTCCAGGCAGAGAAAGCTGATGGAAACCCCCTTGACTTCGGGTACTGGTATTCACAATCTTCTAGGATCTCTAGAGATATCTCAAAAACCATGAGAAGGCAAGGAGGAAGAGGGGGTGGCCATTGGCCACTGTATCTGCACTGCACAGTGTATCTGCACTACACTTCACCCATAGTCACTCTCTTTTGATCTGATTTGTATTTTGGTAACAAGCAGGTTCCTAGAGAGGAGGAATGTGTTGAAATGCTATCTATACTCTTTTATGGCCTTCAGCTTGGGCGGTTCCTTCATCTCCTCTCTCTCTCTTCAGCCACGTACACACAAAATATATGATTTTCATAAGCAAAAATTTCCTTCAATGACAATATCCAAATAGTCGGTAATAGTAGCCAAATAACTCTATTTATCACTTGTTGAAATGACCTGAAGCAGCAATGGCAATGTGTCCAGCAAATAAGAGAATTATTGACACTGAAATGTTTGCTTGAAAATACCAACTTTGTTTTAGTACCTAGTAAATACGGTTCTGTGAACCAGCACATCTCACTGTGTTCACGTATCCCTAAAATAACAATTCGCTCCCCTACGTAAATCAGAATCCGATAATTTGTTATGATCGAAAGAATTATAATAAAAACATCTCGATTTGGGATATGCCCAAGTTTGAAATATGTTTGAAATAAAAATGGTTTGGTGCTGGATATTATGATCCGTACGTCCAGATCTTTGTGCTAAGCTTTTCTTCTCTGCTCTGTGCCCCAGGAGGCTCACCTTCATGGACTGTATCACTTATGCTCGTCCCTTCCTCTGGCTTCCTGATGGACTTGTTGGCCAACTGAAGGTACCACCAGCAGAAGATCCCAGGGTGTGATCAAAGAGATATTGATGTATTGCTGACTTTCTCCCTCCTGGTGCATGGTCTGGCCGGAGCTGCTTTCTTCCTAAGACTATAGCTTCTGTCAGGCATCCCCCTCTTCTGTTTTTACCCAATCTTATCAACTCTTCCTTCCCCTTGTTCCTCCAGGCCTAGGACTGATGACAACATCCAACTTTTGCTAGTCTCTGGAAGCTTCGTCATCATCATGTTTGCTCCCTTGATACTATTTACACTTCTGTATATAGTTCTTTTATTAAATTTTCTTCAGATACTCCTTCTGTTCTGTCAGTTCTATCAGTTTTCTTCTGGGAACAGTTATGAGTTATTCTTGATATTTATATTTCATAAAGAATTCAAAATATTAACATATATAAACTTATGAATGCTTTTTTCTTTCATTATAAGAATATTTATAGTTAGCTAGAAACTTAAGTCCTTTTTAATATATATTTTCCTGATTTTTTTTAAAAGAACATATTATCCCCCACAAAAATTAAATAAATCATGAATGTGAGAATATTTGGAGACTAATTCAAGTTGAGAGCAGTTACTCACTAGAAATATACTTCCTGGAATAGAATAGATACACACAAAATCTTTGTTGAAAGACAAGTATATGCATAGATGCCATGTTGGTCATTTTCCTCTTTGCTCTCAGATCCATTTTCTGCCTTTCCCTGTTTTGGTTTGTTCTCACAGGGAAGTCAATTACACAGGTTCCATTGGAAATAGCTCCTGGTTAAGTTGGGCCAGGAGTCAAAGGTGGAAGGAAGAGGGAAACAAGATCTTTCCTTCTTTCTTGGCCATCCTCCAGCATAGCCATGCCTTCTCCATGGTTCCACTTCCAACACTCAGTTTCTGCACACAGTCCTAGTCATGGATGGTATAGCTCCTGCCCAAGGGCCCAAGGAGTGGGCTCTGAAATATACTCTATCCCATTTTCCCTCCAGCCTTAAGGTTGTTAGCAATTTTTTGCTGTTGCCTCAGTATTCCTGCCTGATTTCCCAGCTTTCCTATCCCCTGTATAACCAAATCCCTAAGTTAAGTTTCCTTTATTGAAAGACCTCTAGTGGCTTCTTTTTCCTAACTGCATCCTGAATGATATAGATGATTTGGTGGCTAAATGAAATAATTCCAAATCTATGAAAATGACAACAAAACAACATAATAGAGCATCTAATATTGATCCATCCACATTACCTGATTAAATCCAAGGGCTGATGCTTATACCACATTCCCCAGCGTGCCCAGCGCTCATATAATAGATGCCTATTATTCTGAGGTCCATGCGTTTTGATGGGTTGGCTACTCTTGTAGGCTCCCTGAAACACATAAGATAAATTGATACACATTCTCTTAGTATATGTGAACTAAATCGGAACTGCTTTTACTATTTCTTTCCCTATAGAACAATTTAACAGCTTATTGAAAGCTGCAGAAATTTTAAACTTAAGCCCATCACTGGAATAATGTAGTAATGCCTTTATATATTTCTCTTTCATTGAAAATATTCTGACAGTCCCTTAAAAATCCTTTCTTAAAGTCCCTTTTTAAACCAATGAGGTTCCTTTCATTTAAAATAAAGAATTCAGGTTTTACTGTTTGTAACCTCAGGCCTTTTAATAAACACTATACCCTCACCATCATTGAGAGAAATTGTTGTAATCTTTACTTCAGAAATTAAGAGTATTATTCTGCTTTAAGAAGCAATTCAGTCCCAGAAAATACTGATTTCATTTACAGAGGCTAAGAAGGCAAATGTTCAATCAAAAAGTGTAAGAAGTCTACGTCACAATTGCTATTCAAGGTTTTAAATTCTAGAATACTTAAAACTTAATTTAGATAAGCTATTCCAAAAATGGACACATTTTCAGGTTCTTTATATCTCCCCTCAAAAACTATTGCATGGGTTACAATTTCAGACACAGAGAATATATATGCCTTATAGAGGACAGTGTTTCCTGAAGGCTGAACTGCTTTACACTTATAATAAAAAAGGAGGGCAATAGATATGGCAACTCTATTTTCTAAACCAAAACTTAGGACACAGGATTTGACAAACTCCCTCTCATTCCACTGTGTGATTCTACTTTTATAAGCAGTTTAACCAAATTTTAAAACAAGTGGAGTTATGCCTTAGCTTCTTCATGTAGATGATGAGAATAAGAATAAATATTAATGATTTCTACCACAGAGGAGCTTTGTGAGGGTCCCTTGGATAATCACTATAAAGTGCTATGCATGCACATATGAAGTACACAATCAATTTTAGTTAATTTACAGAGTTTGATATATTGTGGCCATTGAAAAGTAGAAAACTATCATCTGAGTGATCCCAGACAACCAGGGGTGTGAGTTCCTACAAAGAGAGAGGACACCTTGAATCATGGTCTGCAAATGCCTCAAGACTGAAATGAGAAACACATGTGGATTTTACCTCTGGTCTTCTAATGAAATGGATAAATTGATTAGGTAAAATGGGAGTACAGGTAAAGTGCTGAGGGGCTTCAGGATGGGCGACTGCAGAATGTGCTACTCTGGCATGTAGATGATTTCTTTTTTTTTTTTTTTTTAATTTAATTTAATTTTGAGAGACAGAGAGAGAGAGAGAGAGAGAGAGAGAGAGAGAGGGTGTGCTTGCACAAGCGGGCACATGAATGGGTACACAAATGCGGTAGGGACAGAACGCGAGGGAGACAGAAGATCCAAAGCAGGATCCGTGCTGACTGAAGAAAGCCTGACTCAGGGCTCAAACTCACAATTCGTGAGATCATGACCTGAGCCAAAGTCCACCGCTTAACTGACTGAGCTACCCAGGTGCCTCAGCATGTAGATTATTTCTAAGCTGAAGATAACTAGGGCCAATAGACTCAAGAAGAATTTTTTACCTACCCCTTAACTTCTTAAAATAATTTAGATAGGAAGGCTATGAGAGGAAGAGAGGTATTACCAAAGATAACTTTTTTTACATAAGAAATACTTATATGCAAGACATGGCAAGCACTGGCTCATCCAATATTCATCCTCTCATCGTCCTGTGAATTGTCTCCCTTCCCTGTCCCTTCCCTTCACAAGTCCCAGATGCCTGCCCTCTTCTTCTTAGCTCAGGATAGCATATAAACCTCAATTGCCTGACTGCTGGAGAGCCTCTCATGTCTTTGTGGGGATCCTATACATGCATAAGTAAATTTCCTTTTCTCCTATTAACCTGCTTTATGTCAACTTAATTATTAGGCTAGCCCAAGAACCCCAAATGGAAGAAGAGAAAAGTTTTCCTCCTGTGGTGCAGTTCAAGTTTTCTTCCCTAAGAGAGCCCAAGGTTTTTAAAGGCTAAAGATCAGAATCTAAGAAGATGAAAGTGAAGGTCAAGATTTCAAGCATGGGGGAGGTCCACTTGGGAAAGATTTGTTTGCTTGTGCAGTTGGACTGGCTTGTTAAGGTAGACTGCTTTGAGATCAGGTAAGTAAGGGAAGGTGAACCAAAATCTCAGCTTTCTTTCAGTCATTCATGATCATCTTTTTAAAATACCTGATTTCCTTACCAGTGGTCACCTTCTCAGTGGTCAGACATAGGTACTTCCTGGGTTTTAGGGGCTAAGCTTAGAATCCCTAGTACATCATTGTTTTAATTCTGCTCAAGAACCTCAACCATACTGTTCTGGATTGACAGTGACACCAGGTAGCTGTAAGAGAAAACTGACTGCAATGATGACCCCTGCTGGTCCATGTATTTCCATCTCTTTTCAGAGAACCATGTGCACTCAGTGACCACTCCCCTACCTCTTCATAATAATCCCTTCCTCCAACCAACACACAACGAGTGGGAAAATGACTGTTATTTACAATCGATTCCTAATAGTTTCCAAATTTCATACAAGAAAGTGTCAAACTGTTAGAACACAGACTAGTTATATAGATGAAATTACTTACACAGAGAACAAACAAAACCTTCTTTTGCTATGAAGCTCTCCCAGGGCCTTAGGTTTGCTACACTGAACACTTCACCCCTTACAGACTACGTCAAATCTGACATGGTGTTTAATTTCTTTGAGCCTTGTTTCTGTATCTCTAAAATGAGAAAATAATAATATATACCCCCCCAAGATTACTGTCAGAGTAACAAGAAAATAGGTGCACAGGGCCTGTCTCATGAAACAAGCTAACATATTACCTGTTATTATTCTTTTTCCTACTGTGAGTAGGCATACCACAATGAATACAAGCACTGGAGTCTGGCTTCTTGGTCTTAAGTCTGTGCCTTTAATAGCTTGTCTGTGCCTTTAATAGCTTTTCTGTGCCTCAATGATCTAGCTTAAAAAAATGGAGTTATTATTATTGTCTATCTCAGAAGGTTAGTCTATGGATTACATAAAATAATCCATATAAAACACTGAGCTCAGTGCCAAATAGGAAGTGCTCAATGCTTTTTATCCCTTATGCGTTTTACTAGACTATGAATTCCTCAGATATAGGGATTACATCCTGTGAATCCTCAGCCTTTATAAATAGAAAGGATGGGTCTTGAGGTTGCAGACATTATACCTCTAAAGACCCTGTTCTTATTTCAAAATGCAAAATTGCCTTAAAAATAGTGTGTGTGTGTGTGTGTGTGTGTGTGTGTATGTGTGTGTGTGTGCGTGTTGGGAGAGGATGTTCAAAAGTGATTCAAATGGGGGCGCCTGGGTGGCGCAGTCGGTTAAGCGTCCGACTTCAGCCAGGTCACGATCTCGCGGTCCGTGAGTTCGAGCCCCGCGTCGGGCTCTGGGCTGATGGCTCAGAGCCTGGAGCCTGTTTCTGATTCTGTGTCTCCCTCTCTCTCTGCCCCTCCCCCGTTCATGCTCTGTCTCTCTCTGTCCCAAAAAAATAAATAAACGTTAAAAAAAAAAAAAATTAAGAAAAAAAACTGATTCAAATGTCGTTCGTGACTCAGCAGTAGAATTCACCATGGCTTGGAGCAGGCATTTCTACTTAAAATTAGTAAACAGGTAATTACCTGGCAGAGAATCGCATAAATAATGGGGTGTAGGTTTTTGTTGTTGGGTTTGTCTTAGGCACAAACCAGAACTTGCCCTGTTTGGGAGTGGTACGGATCCCAAGCTGGGTCAAGCATGGAACTCTGTGTTGGAACAGAGGAAGGAGGTCAGAGTGATTGAACAATGTTCCTGAGTTCTCTCTGGGGCCGCGACTCCTAATATGGGACAAATTGCACAAAGGTGCTGGAGCACAGGGGCCAGTGTGCAGCCAGAGATCATAATGGGGACTCAGAAAGGCCCAGGGCCACTTGCTGACTGAATCCTCTTACAAGACGGCAGCCAGACTTAAAAAAAAAATCAGCATTTTGATCATGAGAAACTTTTTTTAAATTGAAATTGTATTTCAAAATTACCTCATGTGGAGGAAAAGCTGCTATATATGAGCCATTATTTATAAGTTTACAGATACCTGGAAAGAGAAGAAAAAAAAACAGTTTTTGAGTCTGTTGAAAGAAGACTTTCCTCTGGGGAAACACACATATACTTGGGACAACAAAGTAACTTAACAACTTAAAGCAACCCAAACAACTGATACTAAAAAATCTATTTGTGTCCTGACAACATTCAGCAAGGAGATTTCTAAGGTACTAACATATGGCACTTTGCCAGATCATGAAATAGGAGGCATTTTAATACCATTTGGGATCACATGAAACTGGAGCAGGGTTTTTTTCTGCCTTAAAACAACAACAACATTTGGTCAAAAAAGCCAAGGAGGTCTCCTCTCAAAAAAGAAAACAAGTTTCAGAAGGATATTGGTCTTGTGAAATCTTTAATAGTGAACCAAAGAGACAAACAGCAGTATGTGACACTTCTTAAAATCTCCTCCATCTCAGTGACAGTGTAGTGAAATGGACATTCTCTTACTGTCTTTGTAAGATTAGATATTGGGAAATTTGGGGAGAATAACTTTTGTTGCAGTATTATTTACATTGGTAAAGAATAAGATCATTGTACATCCAAAATTGGGAAATCATTTAATTATTATGGTACATTTATATAAGGTGCTTAGTAAATAACTGCAATTTATTGAATGCCTAGAATAGAATACTGTACAACTATTTACAATGTTTCAGACATACTAAACAACTTGATAAAATATTCATAAATACTTTCAAAGAGGGACAGAAAATCATAAACACTGCATGACTCTAATGATATATATACATCATATATTATACATATATATAACACAACATATATACATATGTGTGTGTATATATATATACATATATATACACACATCATTATTAGAATCATGCAAGTTTATTATGTATATATTCAGTATCATTTTGGGAGAGTGACAACTGGGTTTGGGGACTTTCAATTTTATTTTTATACTCTTCTGTGTATACTGTATGTTCCACAAAGGGCATAATATGTTTGCAATCACTTGAAATGTCATAAAGACTACATAAGCAGATAATGCCATCATTTAGACACACTTTTAACTTGTATTCTGGATTCCTCTATTTTTATTTCTTATGTAGAAAACTAGGTGTCAATTTTTTTTTGTAAGGATTTAGTGTCTAAATTAGCTATTTTGACTACTCTGCAATAAATAAATTATTAATCAGAGGAGAACCAAAGTCTGAACTTTCCTTTTTAAAAAAATGACTTGACATAGTACATTTGACTTCTGTGGCACTATATTTTAGTACAATTCAGTAGAGACTGGTCCAAGTTTCCAGTGTGTGTCAACTTTTCATTTGTAAGGATTTTAGGACATAACTAACATTGAATCTCTTTCATGTCTTGTAATTTTCACCTTAATAAGTAAAAGACCAGCTCGACTGTTACCCACTGTTTTCTGCTCTGCACTACATAAACTGCAATTTCATTTAATTTTTCTAGGTGAAATTTTCTTTTGCAATATACATGTAGTAGTATCATACCGCTACACATTTAAACAACACAGAAATTCAGAAAGTTAAAATTAGCTGTTATTTCACCTTCTAGAGATAATTTCCAGAAAGTTGTATATACATTCTTTCAGACTTTTATCTTTTTATGAATGTGCGTTTAGGAAATGGGATTACATTAGACTTATAGTTTGTTGTTTATTTGGGGTTTTTTAGACTTACAGTTTTTAATCTGTCCGTTTTTTCACATGACTATACATTGCAGATTTCTTTCAAAGTCAGTAAATGGAGAACTAACCACTAATTTTCAATTTCCACAAGTAAGGGGTCTGTGTCGTATGCTTTTTGTGACATATAGCATATAACAGATGTTTGATAAATTTGAGTCAAGAGTTAAGAATTGAGTTAAAAGAAGACCATGGGGGATGGTAAGGGGGAAAAAAAAGTTACAGAGAGGGAGGGAGGCAAATCATAAGAGAGTCTTAAATACTGAGAACAAACTGAGGGCTGATGAGGGGTGGGGGAGAAGGGAAAGTGGGTGATGGTCATTGAGGAAGGCACCTGTTGGGATGAGCACTGGGTGTTGTATGGAAACCAATCTGACAATAAATTATATATATATATATATATATATATAATATATGTGTATATATATATTATATATGTGTATATATATAATATAAATAAATAAATATATATATGGAAAATAATAATGCAAAAAAAAGAATTGAGTTAAGAATAACAGTTTTAAATGGATGCATTTATGGCAACAAAGCTAACTTTTGTCAGTGCCTAATGATGGACAATTAAACTGTTTACAATTTTATTCTACTCTAATCTTTGTTTATAAAACAAAGCCACTATTAACAAACTTCTACATATATTATTATTCAAAAGTCTGATTATTTCTTTAAGAAAATTTTCAAGAAATGAAATTTCTGTTCCAAAGTGTTAGCACTCTTCATGTTTTGATATGATACATATGGCTAAATGCCCTTGAAGAAGTTTTTGTTGTTATTGTTTTATTTAGTTCTGTTTTACTGAAAGGCTGAAGAAGAGAATACTTAGAGTTTGTGCTCAATGCATCATATCCTCATATTTAACGCATGAGGGCAAAGCTTCAGATGTCAAAATAAATATTTCTGGATATAATTAGTAACAGCAAATTCTACCCTTTCTATATTTTTAATTAGTGTTCTTACCCACTTTTGATATTCCATTTTCATATTTGGTGTGCTGTAGCATGTGATAGACTATCCTGCTTCGAGTAGCATTACTGAAGAATGTGTCCTTATTGTTTATTATGAAGCTGTTAAGATAAGGGATTTGTTTTAATATTCAAAGCAGAGCACAGAGTTCAGCAACAGTTACAAATTCGTAGGTCTTCATCCATCTGTTTTCCCATTAAAACTAATGCATGAGAGGTATAGTAAGTCAAACCATCCTCTTAAAAAAATCAATTGGCAGAGACAAAATATACTTATAAATAATACAGACATTATCAAATATCCATTTAAGTATCTTTCAGTTTATAAGGAAGCTTGGATGTCCTCATATTTCTTGTTTAGCATGAAACAAGGACAGCATTAGATTGTCCATTGGCTCCCGTAAATTTTGTACTCCCTTAAGCAATATAGTGCCAAATAGAACACATTAAAAATTGATATCATTTGCCCATACCACACCTTCCAAGCTAATTTGTCTTGTTTTTAGAAGTTCAGCAACGAGTGACAATAGTTCTCCCTTTCCATTCATGCCCTGTACTCTACCCAGGTAGGAAGCTTTGCAAAGAGGAACCATATTAGAGCCAATGAGTAAAGAGCAAAAGGGTGGTCTTGACAGGAAAAGATGGGTCTGTTTTAGCATCTACTTTGTCATATGCCGGGAGCCTCAAAAAAATGGAAGCATGCTCAATTTCTACCGCTTCCTTTTTCCAGTTATCTCTGTGACTAATAATCTGCCTTTTTTTTTTTTTTTTTTTTTTTGGCACTTAGTACTGAAGTATTAGGTCTTCTATGATTCTTGTTTTCTCTTTACCATCCATATTCAAGTAACTGCTGAACTAATCAACTTTTCTACCTGAACTGCCCTTCTCTGGCTTTGAGCTACTAGGTCCTACTGCCTAGGTTATGAGAAGAATGTCCTCTTAACTGGCTGTCCAATTTCCAACCTGACTTTTCCAGGATAGTTCTGATTCTTAGAGCACTCCTACTTTTAATGTTTCAGCATTACGTGCATAATTAAATTTTTCATTTTCTTCTCAGGTTTCTATTTTTGCATTTCAGCCTCTCCTTCAGTCTGATCCCCTACAGCTCTGGCTTCTTGCATCTGATTGTTCAAATTGTAGAATTTATCACACCTTAAAATGTCACACTTCTTTTGCTGTCTCGGCATTTTGCTGTCTCTAATGTCTTTCTCCCCACCTCTCTCCACCTTCCTCCACATTTTTACCTGCTGAAAAGGACTATCTTCTTCAAAAAGGCTTCCTAGATCGTTTCCTCTGGATGTAGCTTCCCCCTCTCTTGTACAAACGTGCATTGTATTTGTGTCTTTCCTAACATGTTGATTTTACTCTGCTTTGTTTCATGCTAATCTGTATACTTGTCCATTTTATTAGCCTCCAGGATTTTGATATTGAGCTTTTTGTTTTGTACCTGGCTATGCACCAAGTTACTATAGCTGCTCTGTGCTCTGTTAATTCTAATAATCAGAAGCAGTGTCCACACACTTCTTTTACCATCAGATTGGTTCAGAATTCCGTGAACAAATATTTCTTTAGAAGGTTAAGTTCAATTTTTTCACGGAGTTGCATTATAGAGGGAGAAAACACATGGTATATAAATTAACAAATAAGTTGCAGTCCCTGTCTTCACAGTATTCCCAGTGTAGCAGGGCAAACAGAAATGTATAGTAATAATTAGATAATATAAGATAAACATAAAGATAGGGAAATGCACAGTGTGAGACATTGGAGCATTGAGAGGCAGTATGAAATGGGATTCTGGACCACTGGACATGTTACAGAGGCAATAATTAATGGGAACTCTCTCCTCCCAAATATTTGATTTAATTCATTTGTTTCATCCTGCCTCTCAACATCTATAAAGACAGGGACTGTGTCATATCCTCAATTTTTATTATGAAAAAACTCAATAAATACTAGTAGAATGAATTTAGGAATAGAGACTTGTTGGGATGTAGACAAAGAATTATGCAACAAGTCCCTAAAAAAATTCTCATTCATCTTAGTTTCATACAATTAGACTCAAGTGGATTAAACTAATAAATACATATTAATTATATGTAATTATATATAATTTATTAATTAGAATAATCCATATTCAATCATGTTATTTAATAGCAATTCTATTCATATTACCATTACTGTTACTTTGACTGGGTATTTACCACCATCATAATTATTTTGAAAGAACTGGGAGCTAGACTGTTGGCCCATGAGTTTACAATTAATTATATTCATTACTTGAATGTCCCTAAATCAGCTGATCAGGAATTAATAATGCTCACTGAGTGCCATTGGTAAATTAAGTATAAAAACGTTTTAATAAAATGATACATTCTCTGACTTATTTGGCAAACAATGGAACTGTTCCAGGGTATTTTTACTTTATCAAAAACTCCTAGATACTGAAAGGTATCGAGGCAGGTGGTGGATGAAAAAGAAATGTGAACTTACTGGTGAATCCGTGCACGGCTGAAGGGGCCTGTATAGCAGTCTGATTCCTCCAGGTGTGGAAAAGCTGACTTGTCGAGAACCATTGGGTTTTGGGACATCCATTTTTTTATCCTTCTAAAATAATTTTGCACACTGGAACAAAGTCACAAGAACTAGATTAGGTTGCATTCCAGAGTCATGCCTACCTTCCATCACCATTCCGAGGTGGGGGGGGGGAGGTGGGGGGCGAGGAAAGGAGTTCCAAAAAGACAGTCATACCCACACACGTGCATTTCTTTTGTTCTCACACAAAAGACATAAATTTCAAACCAAACCAAACCTTGCATTTGCTTAAAGTCAGTGTAACTAGGTTATCCTTATGCAAAATATCTTGTGGAAAATATTAAAAAATCATCATATATAGAGACGTGGTAGGAAAGAGCATAAACACAATAAAAGTAGCATGATACATCTATCAAAGTTGTGAGTGCATAGATGTATGTATGTATACCTATACATATGTAGCTATCGATTATTCCCTGATTCTTTGAAAAATCTACAGCAATGTGGCCCTACCAAAAAGAAAAAAAAAGAAAGAAAGAAAGGAAAGAAAAAAAAAGAAGGAAATGAGTACAACACACCCAGCAGAGCTGTGAGCCTCTGCCTTGATAGAAACAGCGAGGGCTTTGGAGTCAAGCAAAACAGTTCAAAGGCAGCATGGCGCCACGGGAGCTGTGCGAACTGACAGATGTTACTTAACTTCTTGCCTCAGGTTCCTCACTCATCAAAAACATATTGACTTTGCTGGAGACTTGTAAGTTGGTGTCTTCTTAAGCTTGATTATTAACAAGTTGAGGCAAGGAGCCTTCGCAGTACTTTTAAGACTGATGGGCAAACGAATCCTCTGAAGATCTTGGTAAAAAGCTAATTCAGTAGGCCCAGGGTGGGGCTTAAGATCCTGCATTTCTAAGTAGCTCCCAGGGGATGCCCATGCTGCTATCCACTGGCTGCACTTTGAGTGATGGGTTTAGCACAGACACTAAATATATGACATTAAGATACTGTTTCAAGAAATTTTACATCAGGATACTTCTTCGTTCGGTCTCAGCTTTAGATTACAGTCATAACCCAGTTCTTATGTATACATACTGACTGGAATCATCTTTACTTTACAAAGAAAAAAAAAAAAAGCAAAAGAAAGAGACATAGACTCCAGAGATTGATTCTGAAAACTTAATTCTGAGTGACTATAGTAATTATGTTTACTTAAAAATAGCACAATATTTACACACCACTTACAAGGTTCCATCTTTACCAATGTTGGGGCTCTTCTGCAATAGCAAGAGTCAAAGTAGGAGGAGAGAATAGTTTCCTAGACAAATACAATGCTTCTTAATATCTGCTTGGTCAGCTCTGCTTACGCTTTAAAAAATTCAGTATAGCAATGTGCAGGCAGCTAATAGTGTATCTTAGGAATTATTTCATTCAAATCTGTTATGGTAAAATTAGTATGAATAATTTGAAATAGCAATCAATTCCTGACCTAAAGTTTGGCATGTGGAGAGTCTGGACCTTTCCTTTGCCAGGTAGGTTATCATACAGATGCCAAGTCATTTTTGGTTTTGGAGGGACCAAAGAATTACTTTCTAGCCTAGAATAATACATGAGCAATATCTGAAGTGTTCCCTTTGCTTCTTCTCATGATAACAAAAGCTTCCGAAATCACAGAATATCTCCATATTTCAGTGACTAGTGCACAGACACTTACAAATTACTGAATGGATTATATAGCAATCACTCCAGCTTTTCAGACTTAGCACAGCGAGGGAAACAATGGGGTAGAAGGTGGAGGATGAGCGTCCCAGGACCTAATTTGTCAGTTACTGAAATTGGCAAATTCAATCTTGGAGTTTCAGGCTCCTCATCTCTAGAGAGAGGATGTGACTCTATCTGTCCTACCTTGTTAGGTGTCTGGAAGGATCAAATAGAAGGATACATTCTGACTGGACTTAGGAAATGCTGATGAACTACAGATCCTGAGGGCCTATCTCTGACCACATACAAACATATTAGAAGTGGAGGTGAACTTTAAAAACATTTAAAAAATAAAAAGGCTCTCACGCCATCACTGATTTTCTACAAAAATAAACAATATTATAATTAAGACTTTTCATATACACTTCCCACGAGGAAGCAAATGATTCTGATAGTGAAATGTGGTCAGGTCTGGATTTGAATCATGGGATGCAAAATTTTGGATTATTACTCAATTTCCTTGATTCTCATTCAATTTTCTCCTATCTTAAAAGGTGGGATATTTTGAGAATTAAATATGTAACACCTGAATCCACCCAGTACTCACTAATGTTTATGGTAATAATAAGGAAAGAGAGTGTTACTACTCTGTCTATTAGTATCAGTCTCACCAACACATCACCAACATAATCTAATGCTTTATCTACACTCTAGCGAATCTGTGTCACCTTGGCCATCTTACGGACTCAAGACTTCATGGATGGCACATTGTGGAGATGACTCCTAATGGAGCTTTAAGTTCCTTTGCTAACATCAATGGAAAGCAGAGAATTCTTGGAAATTGGTAAGATATCTGGTTAAAGGGCCAAAAGAACCCAGTCAGAGCACAGGCTCTACCCAACCAGCTGTGAAAGCCGGAGAATGAGGCACAGGGTGGTGCAGAGTGGTGATAATGGTCATTTATTTTACCTGATCTGCGAAACCAGTTACTCTTTGTTCTGCCTCCCTGAAGGGTTATTTTGAAGATGCCTTGGTAACTGAATGTGAAAATGCTTTGTAAACAAATGATAAATAGCAGCAATAATAAAACTACAGCCATTTTCTATCAAACTGCCAGGAGAAATGATGATCTTGAAAAGCTGGATAATTGCCTGTACATTATTCACCACCTAATGTTTACTGGTCAAAATACCCATGCACAAAATATCTTTCCCACTCCAATAAAGGAAAAGCACAAGTGAAATCTAGGTGAACATAACTGATTTTCATTTCTCTCTTTCCAACTGTATACAAATTAGGTTTTAAATTTTTATAACGATGGTTGTTATACACACACAAAAGAAAGCGAGAAAACACTTAAATTTCTTCTCCAAAGTTAAAGTCTGAAAAATATCAAAATCAGTCATTTCCTTAATTGAAAGTCTACACTCAAGCAAATAACAGGACATTCTCTTTCTCAGTTTAGTATGTCATATACATTTCTAAATGCCCGTCCTATTTATTTGTACCCTTCTCAGATGCATCCAAAAAGTCAGTAAATACTTATCACTATTTGTAGTGAGTAAATTGTAAATACTAGTAGTAAATACTTACTACTATTTTGTAGTAAGTAAATTGTAAAGAGGTAGGTCATAGTAATGCTTAAAGTAGTTTAAGAATTATTTGGAATAATATAACTGAATTTTCATTTTGTGAAATTAAACAGAAAATAATAATAAATACAAAAGATAATAAAACATATTATGATATACAATATGGTGTTTATTTTTCTAGTTTACTTTTAAGTTTGACCAAAACAGAAAAAAATACTTTTTCCACTATTAAAAATGTTTTCTATAGAGTCTAATATACACGTTTATCACACATTCCAAAAGCAAATGCACACTAAAACTAGATTATATAATGTTACATAGAAATTCGTTGCTATTTTAATATACAGGGTTTTATCCTTCTGCAAGTCTCTGAAAGAAAGATGTTTATCAGAAAACTCACTAATTATGTAGTAGCAAAATCTCACTAATTCTATAGAGCACACTGAACTTAACCCAGATGTGTTATCAATACATCCAACATGATGCAGGCTCATGTAGAGAAAACAAAACAAAACAAAAAACCCTCTGCAGTTGTAAATTTGTATTGTTGTGACATTCCAATGACTTTTACTTTATTATAGAAAAATAATTTTGAAAATCTGCTACACAGACGAGGACCAAATATGTCCAAGGGAAATGATAAAAACTCATTCTAAATCTGACCATGTTGGGGCGCCTGGGTGGCGCAGTTGGTTAAGCGTCCGACTTCAGCCAGGTCACGATCTCGCGGTCCGTGAGTTGGAGCCCCGCGTCGGGCTCTGGGCTGATGGCTCAGAGCCTGGAGCCTGTTTCTGATTCTGTGTCTCCCTCTCTCTCTGCCCCTCCCCCGTTCATGCTCTGTCTCTCTCTGTCCCAAAAATAAATAAAAAAAGTTGAAAAAAAATTAAATCTGACCATGTTAACCTGACAAACAGAAAAGTCTGACCTGGCTAAGGAGCATAAATAATAATTTTATTATTTTAAAGAGATTTTTAAGTACTAGTTCCATTAATATTCATTCTAACTTCAAATTTTCCCCCCTATGATTTACTTTTCCTGTCACCTGTTCCTACCACATCTAAATTTAATGCTTAAGAGAGTCCAACATTCCCCTATCCTAAAATTAAACTTTTTCCTATTCTAATGTTCCAAATTATATTCAGACACTTTCTTTGGTAAAGGAATTACATTTATGGAATCCCTTCCTAAAGCATTCTGATATTCACACTATATGATTCTAGTTTTGTGTCATTCTGACTTGTAATATCCTGCAACATTATTCAATAGAGTGTATTTTGTCACATTGACATTCCGCTTTCGTTAACGAATTCTTTTGCAAGGAGCAGAAAAACAGCCAAGTGTAAGAAGCCTTTTGTTTCTAGCATCCATTAAATGAAAGCTCATTTTCCTCAGTGAAACAGGGCCAAGGTGATTCAGGTGGGAGAGTTTCTCCTGTCTCAAGGTTGTGGTTTGATTAATTCCTTTGTCATAGCTACTGTTACCACAACATTTAGAGAGAAGTTTTGAGATGATGCTCTTGAAGAAAAGTTTGTTTTGAATGCTAGAATATGAGAGGCAGCTCTGTTGGTGAAATAAGAGTAGGTCTGTGATTCAAAAAGATGCTGTGTGGCCTTGATAAACCACTTTGTCACTCTGGATGCTAGTCTTTCCTTGACCACCTTTGTCAAATAAGATATTTAAATTGAATTAGCCAGAAGATTTTTGCCCTGTCTGTTCTTCTATTACTCTAGTGGGTCATCGTTTACCCATCAATCCTGGTTTTATAACTATTTTTTACATTAAAATCTCCTAAGAGGCTAACTGGCAATTAAAATCCTCCTGCCACAACATTACATCAAGAGAGGATTCCAGAAATGGCAATGGTAAATAGAAAAAAAAAATAGATTATCTTATTGTAAACATGGTTAAATTTGGTGTAAGTCATTTTGGAAATTGTAGAACAAATCAGAAAAGTTTTTCTTCCTAAAATTTACAACTGCTGATGTGGGTAATTAAATGTCTTCTTTTTATTTCTTTTTCCCAAATGACAGTGGTATATAGAAAGCATGGTTGTAAACAAAATATACATCACCACTAACCTGCCCATTGATTTGCTGCTCCGGTCAGTGTAATAGCATTTTTTCCTGAAAAATAATGGATACAGCTGAAGAGAGTCACGTGAAAAAAGAGAAACCAGTGAGTGACTACATTCAATCACATTGAGTATTTTAACACTCCAACTTCCGCCCGCCTATGAAATACATGAAATAAGCCAATATAATAGAGTCAGAACTTTGAATATGCCTTGTTTTAATTTCAGAATCTAAGTTAATAACCAAAGAATTCTGATACATCAATACATCACTTTTGAATATTTTATTTTTAAGTCCATATTTTGACTCTGTCTTCTGCTACACAATGCATAGTAACTGGATCATTGGCTTACATGTTATATGAAGTCTTTCATTCATCCATCCATCCATCCATCCATCCATCCATTTATATTTCTATCCATCTAAACATATATGTAATGAATGCTTATTATTTTGCAAGATGTGTTAAAGTATAACCATTAAAAATTTAGACAAAAAAAGAGGGTATCTACCCTCAAAGAGCTTCCTTTATAGTTGCAAAGACAAGTGATAGCTATAATAAAGTGTGATAAGGCAGGAAAACAGAGAGGGCTATGCGTGTACATTGGAACAGATCTCAATTAGTATTTGTAGATGAAGGAGAAAGGAATCAGGCAAATCTTCTTAGAGCATGTGTTTTCTGTGTTGAATCTTGATACATGTGTAAGAGTCATCCTCTGAATAAAATACTTAGGACATTCTTGACATAATTATAGGAGCAACACCAACTATTGCAAGATTCAGGAAACTGCAACTACTTCAGTAATCTCTGAAGTATAAACTGCAAGTTGAGCATAGTGGTAAAAGGGATGATGAACAGGCACAGACAACAAGGGGTCCTACCACTGATTCTAAGGTTTTGGATGAATTACAAAGGGAAAACATGGAGTATTTTGTTTTAAGTAGGTGTATACCATGTCTGATTTTAAACAAACTAAAAATTCTGGTGACGGGGTTAATTCAACTCTTAAAAGATTCTTACCACATCCTCATTTTGGAGCGCAGGAATCTCATAGCCTGGGCCTTCTAAAATGACTCTTTATCCCCACCCACCAAAACCTATTTCAGAGGATCAGTAAATTCCTCCCTGTGTGGTATATAGAAAGCAGGGTTGAGTCAGGACAATCAATATGTGGTCCTAACTGTGTTATTAACTGGTTAGAAAAGTTGAAAACCTTCTGTACTACTGCATTTCATTGCAAACACTGGTTATATTGCTAGAAAAGAATTTTTTTCAGTTGTCCCTGCCATACCTCAATACTAAATTCAAGTGTGGAATTTCAAGGTTTGCTACATCCATCTTAAACTCATTTAATTATCTCCCCATTTCATTTTTTCAAATATACAGAAATTTGCGTGCATACATAATTCGATCCCCATTGGAATATAAACCCATCTTCTTTCTGAACTTCCTGTACACAGATTGGCTTGCATTATTTAGACATCATTATATAACTGATCACTGACTATCTTCTACAGGAGATTGGGCTTCTTGAAGATAGTAGTTTTATTTCATTTCACTTTGTATTCCTGGTGTATACTTGGTACATCATTTGATAAACAGTAAGTGCTCAGATGGCTGATAAGTGTTTAATTTACAGTTGAATATATTTCCTTCAAGGCCTGAGACCACTTTGCATTTAATAAACATTTGCTAAATGAGGTATTATATATATATTTTAAAAGCTAAAAATGTAGAAATTAGTTTAAAATAATTTTCAGCACAAAAAAATCTAGGACTGTTATTTAGAGGAGATAAAAATTATAATTATTGACCATAGGTATGGTGAGGTATATTAGAAAAGCAAGGGAGGGACGTTTGGATTAAACACGATTCTATATTTATCTTATTGCTCCAGTTTGAAATTTTTCATAAACATTTTTTTGAAATGTTTTGGGAACAATAAGGAAAAATGAAGGAATGAAGTTATAAAAAGTGAATATACATACTTTTTAGACCATTAATATTATGAAAGCAAATAAAAATTAAGAGACTCACTTTTCCCAAATAACTAACACTCTAATCCCCAGTCAAATTTAGGGTAAACTATGTGGGACAATTATTGCTGTTGTGTCCTCTTACTTGAGGATTGGATATTGCTTATCTGTTTGGCTGTATTAAAGGATGGGATTTCCTTCTGTCTTTACAATCTGTTGGAGAATTGCCTGTGATGCACATCACATTCTGATTTAATGCTTATTCATTAATACAAGTGTTTTCCTTCTCGTCTACCTTTGTGAAGTTTTCTGGGTTGGTGACGTTTTGTTTTTCTCCCAACAATACACAAGTGTATTTTTAATCCTTGAAATCCATAATAACTTGCAATTTTCCTTAATTCTTCCTCACAAATGAACCTGCAGGACCATATCATTTTCTACCCATAATCCTCCACCTTGTTTATTTATCCTCCACCTTTATTAATTACATATTATTCATAGATAGAGCTTTATTTTTCCCTGAATTTTTCATTTGAAAGATTCTACTATTTTATGCCTTGCATCAGGACAGCATCGATCTACCTATCTACCTACCCACCTATTTACAACTGCCACTCAAAACTACAATTGTTATGTGAACCACTGTTTCCAACCAGTGTTTCACACAGCCACGGGGCTGAGGGAGATGGGCAGTCACATGGGTGGAACCCTACGTCCCCTGCTCCTTGTCAAACAGAACTACTTCACTCTTTAATTGTTGTTAATGTTTATTTATATTTGGGAGAGAAAGAGAGGTACAGTGTAGAGCGAAGAAGGGTCAGAGAGAGAGAGAAAGAGAGAATCCGAAGCAGGCTCCAGGCTCCCAACTGTCAGCACAGAGCCCTATGCAGGGATTGAACTTGGAAACTGTGAGATCATGACCTGAGCTGAAGTCAAACACTTAACTGACTGAGCCCCCCAGGCACCCCAGAACTATTTCACTCTTAATTATTTCATATATTGGGCTGTCTGAATGTTCCTATGCTATTTTATTTTTGAGTGAAGGATCCTTTGCATATAAAAGTGATCTAAGTTTAATCCCAATTATGATAAAAATATTATTCTTAATGTTTTAAAAACATCTCCCTCCCTCAAATCTACTGTGTTTAAAATATTTGTGGGAGAAGCTTAAGAATCCCATCAGGGAACTCAAACACAGAGCTAGGAGATGGCTGAGTTGGCTTACAATATGTTTGACTCTTTTCATATGAAAGTTAAGAATGAATAAGCATCATCTTTGAACCACAAGAAAAATAATGAAAGCAGGACATGATATTTCTGGAATGTGGAAAACACAGACTAAGTCCTTGCTGATAGGACAAAAATAAGAAAATTTGAACTATTATTATCCTCTGAATTTTTCTTGGGTAGTTTTGAGACATCAAGGCCATATTTACTTTGGAATAGTAATGAGAAAAAGAAATAGCTAGAATATTTAGGTATATAAAATTCTACACATATATTTAAGCAGAGAATTTAGATAAAATGCTCAAATTTCATGTTCATACAAAAAGCAGAAAACTTTTGCAGACCGGATTATAACTCTAATAATTTATTCTGAATAAATTTGCAATTTTTCTTTGTGAAACATAACATGTAGGTTTCAACACTGAATAAATATGCAGGACAGCCAAACATGGGTAAATTTTTTTATGCATAAATTTTTTAAAAACCCTTGCCCTAAAAAGAGATATGGGTTTTTCCTGTTTAAGTTCTTTGTTATTCTTGCATATTTTGATTTTAAGTCAGTATATATGTTCTTAAATGTGGTTACAGTTGACAAGTGGAAACTGAATCAGCCGTTATAAAAACACTTTGCCATTTAGCTTATGCTTGTGTAGCATTCTCTTTTTACGAGGTGATGGCTATGCCAATTTTCATGTGCACCTTAAAAATAAATGAGAAGTTACTAAGGAGTTAATGTTACATCCATTATTTAAACTGCTCTGGAAAGCGTTCCAAGAAAACTCTGTGTTCCAGGATTTGTCAAACTGTTTTCCCAAGAACACCATTATGTGAAGATAAAAAAATCCCATCATCAAATGGAAAGGGTGCTTTGTATAACTAACTTTTAAAAATGGTAAGATTTATTAAAATATTAAAATTTCCAAGACAATATTTCTTTACCATCTGCATCAGAATCATGTGGGATGCTTGTTAACAATGTATATACCTGCTCTTCCAGAATTAATATTCCATGATGTCTGGGGGGAGAGTTCCTGGAGACTTGATTTTTACTGTTTCCCAGGTGATTATAATGTACTTTAAAGGCATAATGAGAATCTACAATAAATAAACTTAGTGTTTAACTCAAAAGTTCAGAAACAAATTTGCTTACAGGATAGTTTTTTCTTAAGAACCTGTGAAACTAGTATTCCTTTGATACATTTTGGAAATGTTGCATATTTTCTAATATTTATGTTATTAAATCATGAGAGTACCAATGGTATTTTCCAAAAGTTTTAGTATGTAGCCATTGTAAACATTATTTTATTTTATTTTATTATTTTTTAATGTTTATTTATTGAGAGACGGAGAGTGCAAGTGGGGGAGGGGCAGAGAGAGAAGGAAAAACGAAGCCCAAGCAGGCTCCTTGTTGCCAGCACAGAGCCCGAAGTGGGCTTCGATCTCTCAAACCATGAGATCATGACCTCAGCCGAAATCAAGAGTGGGACGCTTAACCCACTGAACCACCCAGGCACCCCATGTGAACATTATTTTTAAAAACATGTTATAAAGAAGAAATTTCGGCCACAACATCAAAAAGAAGAAATAGTAAGGGCCTACATTTCAGGGTTTTCATATTTCTTTCTTTGGATCTATCAGAACTCTTCTTTCAAATGCAGTCTTACCAGGAAATTAAAAAAAATGAATATCACTTAAAAAAAGAAAACAATATCTATCTGAACAGAATATTTCCTCCAAAAGTCACCCTGGGTCAGGACACCATGGCGCACAGCCTGGAGACCTAAGCTCTACGTCATACCAACCGAGGACACCCACAATCCGACAAGGTAACCATTATTTTAATGAACTTCTAAGAAAAAGAAAACAAGGGAATTAAATTCTACAGACTGAGCCAGCCAGACACCCCACTTGGTGAGATGTTTACACACAATGTTTACTGATTCTGAACTGAACCTGAGTGCTGAAACCCACGGAAATGGGACACTTTGTGATAGACTTCAAAGGTTTCCTCCTTTTAGATCTAAGAGGAAATTGGTTTGTACATCAATTTAATTACAACTCTTTTTTGAAACAATGGTGAGATCACAGGACTAGGGAAGGATGAAGGCACCTGATTAGTTAAGATGAATTTGGAAACTTTTTAGCAATTTCATCATGATATCAGACACTAGGTCATTGTCTTGAGTGTTGTACTTTGTGCGTGTGTGTGTGTGCGCGCGCACGTTTATTTTTGAGAGGCAGAGCATGAGTGGAGGAGCGGCAGAGAGAGGAGGACAGAGGATCCAAAACAGGCTCTGCTCCGACAGCAGCAAGCCCGATGTGGGGCTCGAACTCATGAAATGTGAGATCGTGCCGTGAGCCGAAGTCAGACACTCAACAGGCTGAGCCACCCAGGATCCCCTGAGTGTCCTACTTCTTTTGCATCCTGTGTTTACATCATGCAGTCAAGTTAGAATTTGTTAAAAATCGGTAATTTTGCAATTATATAAACAAATAAAATAAATGGTACCCACAATCCCCCATTTGGAGCAGTCATTTTTAGCATATTATAGTTTCTTCCTATTTTATGTTGATGCATTTTACATTGTTGAAATTACACTAAGTAATTACATATCATAATATATATACATAATTTAAATTTTATTATTTACTATTTCCTTATAGTCATTAAGAAATTGTATACCCATTCATTTCATAAATGAATTATATTCCAGTCCAAGAGTATACTGAAATCCTCTACTGAAATATACAGAAATCCTCTACTGAAATATACAGAAATCCTCTACTGTTGAACATAGAAGATATTTCCATTTTCCACAATTGTTAAGTGATACTTCAAGGAATGTCTTTACACATTTTTCAATTATCTTCTTAAGATAAGAAGTGGAAGGTATAAAAAGTCTTATATGAGTTTCAAAGCTCATAGAAAATATTTTCAAGTTGAGTTTCAGAATAGTTTATGAAATTTGACTTCCATCATAAATAAACAAATGTGATCAATTACCATATCTGTGCAATGTTTGAACAGAACTATTTGTAAAATCCTTCTTTAATTTCATAGGTTAAAATTTATGACATTGTTTTAATTCTGCATGATTATATGTCGTGTGAATATGTTCAAACCAAATAAGAAGAAATAAAATAGAGCAAATAACAAATACTCTCCCATTATCACCTTTAATATATCCCAGGCAAGTATTTCAAGATTTTTTAGAAGATGACACAGTGTCAAAGGGGTAAAATTCCTCAGAAGTTAAGAAATGTAGAATACTACAAGTACATACTTGTCAAGCTATACTCTCAAAATTAGTTCAATAAAATGACTTGAATTGAAAGCAGTCCTTTGTAGACCTCAAACTATCTAATCATAACACAAGTAACATCTCATAGACCCTTATTTGCTTCTAGGAACCAAGATTCATAGAAATGTACAGACTTCAGGTTCTCTTAGGTATATCTTATCATTTATATACATGCTGAAGAATTAGAAAGACTTTTCTTTATCGTCTTATGATTTTTATTGTTAATATTACTATTCCTTGCCAGGGCACCTGGGTGGCTCAGTCAGTTGAGCATCCGACTTCAGCTCAGGCCATGATCTCACAGTCTGTGAGTTTGAGCCCTGAGTCAGGCTCTGTGATGACAGCTCAGAACCTGGAGCCTGCTTTGGATTCTGTGTCTCCCTCTCTCTCTGTCCTTCCCCTGCTCATGCTCTGTCTCTCTCTGTCTCAAAAATAAATAAAAACATTAAAAAAATATTAACTATTCCTTGCCAAGCTTTTTGAGGTATTATTTGCTTATCTCTAATTTATCATATTAAAGAGAACTATTAAACTCTTAGCCAAGTTTGAATATGAGCCAATTTAGGTATCCAATTCTAACAGTGGCAGTAAGATTCTTCAGTAGTTGCCAATGCTTAATTTCTGTTTTGTGGACAATGACTGTGTCTGCATCTTTCAAAGCCTGAGGTGTTTCAAATGACTAAAAAGATAGGATCACAGGGGTGCCTGGGTGGCCTAGTCTGTTAAGCATCCGACTTCGGTCATGATCTCACCATTTGTGGGTTTCAGCCCTGCATCAGGCACTGTGCTCCAGATTCTGTGTCTCCCTCTCTCTCTGCCCCTCCCCTGCTCACACTCTGTGTCTTACTCTCTCAGAAATAAATAAACATTAAAAAGAAACTTTAAAAAGATGGAATCACTATCTCATATTTTATCTTGAATAATACAGAAGCTTGTCATAAGACTTGAGGAGGTCAGCACTCTTACCAGAACTGGCGTCTTCCATACTACCAGGTCTGACACATTTCTCTATATTTTTGCATTGTGCTCTTACTGTTCATTTATATTCATTATTTAGAAGCTCTTTTACTGATATCTGGATACTCCTTCTAAACCCTCTTATCAGTGATGAAGCACATTGAGTTCCAAATAAGCATAAATGTTTGTATCTTTGCACACAGTAGGAACACTGTTGAATTTTACTTTGAGAAATTATGGAGGAAGTGGTTCATTCTACATATAACAGATTTCCTTATACACAATATAAGGAAACTCATGTCTATTCAATCTTTGTTTGCCTATAGGAAGAATGGAAAAGTCGTTGAATGGAGTAGGCTTCTCATCTCCCTTTGTACTCTGGTACTGAGGACAGAGCTGAAAAGCTACCTGGTTGAATTGCAACTGAAGAATGATTCTTGGTAACGGTTACACCACAAAAAAACACTGCATTTGTTTACAAATGGATGCTACATCCTTATGCTTCCTGCCTTCCACAAAAACAGTAAGAGTTTTATCAACCCATATGAAATAAGAAATGAGATTAATCTTGGGATCAACTTTTTCCCTCCCTCTAGGTAAGTCCACCGAGAAATGATATGAAGCATCCAAGGGACCATAAAGTTTACCACATTTGGCAAGCATCTTAAAAGAAAAAAACAGTGCCCAACCTATTATAAAAAGGGAGAAAAAGCATTTCCTCTATAGAAAGAGTTACATGGACTGCTCTAAAGTTTTGCAGAAAACAGACTCATCTTAATATGTACTGAGATAGAATGAAGTAAAATTCGGAAGTACCTGAAGGGCATCCTGATATTCAGCCTCTCTGCATACTTGCACAGCGTGTCCCATGGAATATGAATTTTAATAAACATGATATCAGGGTTTGCAACAGCTGGCTGCAAAGGATAGAAAGACAGGCACCATTATTTAGAATCAGAGCTGATGATACCATGCCACAATTTGATTTGAAAGGAAGAAACACCATCACCTTGTCTCCACATAAACCGTTGTCACTGATTTAAAGGGGATTTATATGAATAACAATTCTCAATACAGCAACACCTTCATAAAAATGTAATAATGCCATTGCATGCATACAAGAAATAGTCACCTATGTGAGTTAGTGCATTTTCTTATATTGACTGTTATCAAGATCCAGAATACCCAATCAGAAAAGTCTTGAGCCAGTCAGGGATATGAAGGTAGTCTTATTGCAAACTTTATCATGATCCTACTCAGAGGGAATAAAAACCACTGACAGTTGCCACCAGTCATTCATTAATTCATTCACTTATTCTTCTGGCATATTTTATTGAGTCGCTAAATCCTGGGAAAAATGGAATATAAATCATGCAAGTCCATGACCTTAGAGAGCTGTCAAATTTGCACACTTACTTTAACCTTTTAATCCATAGAAATTTGGGTGCCTTTGATTCAGACAAAAGTTTTTTTTTTAATATTTTTTAAATGTTTATTTATTTATTTTGAGAGACAAAGAGAGAGAGAGAGAGAAAAGGGCAGGGAGAGAGGAGAGAGTGAGACAATCCCAAGAAGGCTCCACATTGTCAGTGCAGAGTCTGACACGGGGCTTGAACTCATGAACTGTGAGATTATGACCTGAGCTGAAATAAAGAGATGCTCAACCGACAGAGCCACCCAGGTGCCTCCAGACAAATTTTTTTAATGTTTATTTATTTTTGAGAGAGAGAGAGCACGAGTGGGCAAGAGGTAGGGAGAGAGGGAAACAGAATCTGAAGTAGGTTCCAGGATCTGAGCTATGACCTGAGCAGAAACCAAGAGTCCAAGGCTTAACTGACTGAGCCCCAAGCGCCCCTGGTTAATGTTGTTTATTTAAATTTCATCTAGATGGGGCACCTGAGTGGCTCAGTCAGTTAAGCATCAGACTTGGGCTCAGATTCCTGAGTTCAAGCCCCAGGTTGGGCTCTGTGCTGACAGCTCAGAGCCTGGAGCCTGCTTTGGATTCTGTGTCTCCCTCTCTGCCCCTCTCCCACTCACTCTTTGTCTCTCAAAAATAAATAAACGTTAAAAATTTTTTTTAAATAAATGAAAGTAAATAAATTTTATCTAGATGGAACTTCTCAAGAAACATAACAATCTTAAAATCTCAAAAGCATAGAAGAAATTTATCAGTTTAATTTAAAATCATATATATTTTATAATTAAAGTAATGTTTCATATCCATACATTCATGAAGCCCTATGTTTTAGATGTGGCTAATTTCACAAGTTTGCCCAAACAATATTTCAAATGAGTATTACCAATATTAATACAAATAATAATACAAAAAGTATTATTAGAGAGCCATGGGATAATCATCAGACTAATACTCATATGTAGGGCATCATTGCCATTGGGCAGACACTTTTACACACCAGCATTTGCCGAAGTTTATTGTTCTATGGAGTACTATAAAAAAAGAGGCAGGGTATTTCATGGCCACAAAAATTTTGAGTTTCTCCCTGGAGGACTTTTGACAAACTTTAATATGCATATACTTGCTAAAAATATCCAAGATGGTGAAAAGTAAACTAAATTTCCAAAATTTTGGAACATGGATTATTTTTTCCCTGATAGCTTATTGAAGTATTTCTATTTTGCTTGCAAATCATCAAGGGAAAAATAGTAAAAGATCCTTGCCCTTAAGTACAGTTTCCAAAGGCTTTTCTTACTTCAAATATGTTTGTTTTAAATATTAGGTAAAGAATGATGGGAATAAAATGGACAATGACAGAAGGAGACATAGTTATGTGTCAAATATCAACAGGCCTTTGAATTCAGACCAAGGTCATACACATTAGCTCTGCTTGAGAAAATAATGTGTAGAATTTTTTAAAATGAGTATTAATTTGGGGCACCTGGGTCGGTCAGTCAGTTAAGCCTGTGTGTTAGGCTCAGGTCATGATCTCATGGTTCTTGAGTTTGCACCCTGCATCAGATGCTGTGCTAACAGCCTGCAGTCTGGAGCCTTCTTCAGATTTTGTGTCTCCCTCTCTCTCTGCCCCTCCCCTGTTTGTGCTGTCTCTCTCTCTCAAAAATAAATGAACATAAAAATTTTTTTAAAGTGAGCATTAATTTATTCAAACAACTATTTGTTTAAAATATGTATTTTTTTACCCAGCTAGAAAGAGAAAGGAGAACGATTATGATGTTATCTCTAGGTTCTTTTTAGTGACTATTCCAGACTTGGTTGAAAGGTTTCTGTGCAGAAGTGATAGAATCAAGAAAATCTAAGACAGAAAAAGCATAGGCATTTAAATGACTCTTTCATTGAGGCAAGTGAAGAAAGAATTTCATGTTTTATTATAGTTTTTCCTGCTTAAGCCATACAAAAGTTCTTATATTCAAAAGATTCTTCTTTTAAAATTATGGTGTTGGCCACTGGTGTTATATCAACTTGCCTTTCACTTACCAAGCACAATTTAAATTTCTTCAATTCTAATTGCCTACTTAGAAGAAATTACATGGTATGGTAGACAGAACATAGTGTTTGGAATCACAAAGACTTAAGTACAAATTCCATCTTTACCATTTACTTTACTCTGTGAGCTTGAGAAAATTATCTAACCTCTATGATTCTATTTTCTCTCCTGACAAAGGGAGACGATGATCTTAACTCACAGAGCTGGTGTGAGTGTTATGAAAGACCAGACATAGAAAGTACCCAAGTATAACAGGTTATCTGTTCATTTCCTGTCGAGGTCAGGCTTCTTATATCAGACCCTAACCAAACTAATGGATAATTTCAAAACTTCACTAGAATCTTTGTCCAGCACTCTCTTTTTCTTTTTTCTTATAAAACACTATCAGATTCATCTTTACCCTTTGGTTTTGTAAGCCTTCAAAAACAGGACTTTCAATTATACAAGTACAAAACCAGTAACCTGTAATTTGGGGAAAACTCTAAAGCAGAGTGACTTGGATCAAGTTACTGAAGAATTAAATATTTTTTGGATAATATCAACTGGGTATAAATTGTAATAAAACTGTATTTCTGTAGACTATAATCTCTTTGGAAGACATCTCTTCCTTTATATATATTTAAATTGTCCTACACCTGTATGTTACTGCTTTTTCCTTGGGAGAAGTGGGTTGTTTTTCAGCATTTTCCTCAGAATCTGGAAGTGAGGCCTCCATGAAAATGAATGAGTCAGAAAAAAACCAATCTATACAAGACTGACACATTCTACGTGTAGAATGGTTTAAGACTGAATAAAGAAGCCTGTGAGAAATGCACTGCTATTTGATCATTGCATTCCCTCCAGTGTTTCCATGTGAATTTGAAAGCAGGGGTCTCTATTGTTGAACAGACAGCTCCTGGGACCAAAAAAAAAAAGTTTTTCAGGAGCTAGTGTTTATTCTGGTACAAATGGAGATCTCATTCTCCTTCAGAGCATCATGGTCCCTGAAGCCTAGGTATGCTGGTTGCCAGAATAGAGTCACAGCATGAAGAACGTGTGAGTGACATATGTGTTGGGAGAGGTCTTAGAGGGTTTAACCTCCACAGCAGGAGAGCTTGGGTTTCATACTACCAGATGGTTCCTGATCTGTTTTACCTTACAGAATATACAGCCAGAGTCTGATCACTCTCCACTTCTCTATAGCGCCCACCCTGGTCTATGCCATCATCATCTCTGGCCTGGACTCCTGCAGTGCTGTCCAACAGAGCCTTTGCTCACACATTCTTGCCCCCAATAATCTACTCGTAGCATAATGGCCGGAGTGCTCTGTAAAATGTAACTCAGATCATGTAACTATTTCATTCAGAGTGAAAGCCAAAGTCTTGTCAGTGACCTACACAGCCCTTTAGAGTCGCACACTCAGTATCTTGCTCACCACCCTCTCCTACTACTTTCCCCCTCACTAACTCTGCTGCTCTCATTTGGTCACTCGCTATGACTTGCCTGTCCTTGCCTCATCCTTCTTACCTTGTCTAATCTCTTCCCTACAGTATTTATTATCTCCTAATAGCGAGTCTTTTTTTAATGTAAGTGCCATATAAGAAGGGATCTTCGTTTTATTTATTTATGTATACCAAGCATCTAGTTCTATGCTGGGCACACAGTAGTCACTCACTAAGCATTTGTTGAATGGATGAACGAGTGAGTTAACTTATTTTGAGTGCACCTTCTATGTAACTTGTACCTAACCCAGAGATGATGGAAACAGAGTGCAAATAAGCCAGAATTATTCTGGAAGCGGTGCTATGTCAGAATTCAAATTAGCATCATGAAGAGCTGGCATAGCACTGATTATTAATTCATTCCTGTCAACCTTTAAGATGTGAAAAAGCCTAATACACTTAAATAAAGGAGATGCTTTAGAGGGATGTTTCTGCATTAACTCTACCATCAATGAGGGAAATGTCAAGCTAAGTGCACATACAGCTAGAACATTTCTAATTTTGTATGTATTAACTTTAAATATATATAGATCTTTCTCAAGCAGCGTGAACTGTCTTCTTTTATAACTTCCTCAAATTAATTTCTCTTTTGTTATACCTCTACTTAAAACAAAATAAAAGTAGTTGCATTTTCTTGCAGCTACTGAGCAGGGGGTTGGTGAAGGGATGGTGTTGCCAGGGAGAAGGATTACTTTCTCCCTTGGAGTCCAAAGCTCCCAATCTGGCACTATTCTGTTTCTCTCTGATGAAGGCAGGCTTTTCGGAGGGAATAACACACCCACCACCTTCACACTTCACATTATTATTTCATTATTTCATCCAGACTTTCCAAGAGGTGGAATAGTCACTCTTCGGAGAAGAGGAAATTTAAACATTGAGTTTTTACAAAGTCACTCTCTGCGAGTTGGTGGCACAGAGCTGAAAGAAAACAGAATGTGGTAGCTCATGCGAGTAAGTCTAAGAAGACGATGAATT